TTCCAACCCAAACCATTCTATGATTAAGTCTTGTAGCTCAGTTTGCCATATCTAGACAGATAATTTTGTAGGGTTTAGCTATTAAGCTGCATATAAAAAATATAAACTGACCACTCTCCTTAAATGTGGCGCTTTTTCGCCCTCAAATAAATCCATGCATAAGCTCTTCAAAGTTCATTTTAATCTTCCCTCTAATTGACAAAGCCATCCTCTGTTCCAAGCTTCATCTAGCAAGGCCTGGACTGTCATATGTGAGAAATAAATTCCAAACTCATGCCTGATGAAGGTCATTTTGCCAGTTATTCTGGACAGTGTGGATTCCCATGTTCTTCCCCAATTTTAAAGCGAGTAATTTTGTCTGGCCTCCAAACTTTTCTCCTCCCACTGCTGATGTATTTGGCAGTAACTTCATATCATTTTTTAAGTTTACGTGACATTGTCATGCGTTATGAGATGACCACCATGACCAATCTCATTAATTTGTTATTTCAAATTGCAGTGTAGCCTGCATATCAGTTTGAGTACATAGTTCTTGGCGCTCTTAAAAATAAGAACAAAGTTAGGATATAACATCCAAGCTCACATGACGAATCATGTAGTTTCAAAACACAGCAAGCAAGTTAACTAAATACGAGGAAGTACCCTACCAGTGCTAAACGGGGACAGCTCCACAGCTAAGACAGTCTCCAAGGGGAAGAGGAGTTTGCAGGAGAGAGCACCTTACCTGAAGCACTTGTGGATAATCAAAGACTTGATTCTTGTGACAGCGTTTGCGCACAGCAGGGACCCCATCTGACAGATTGGTACATTTGTCTAGGATCAATACAGATTCCCCATTCTCAGCCTGAAGAGCTTCCAACTCAGACCGGTATTCTGGGTGTAGAGCCATTTGGGATGACAGAATGAAATACCTGCGAGGACTGAAAAACCACAGCTAGGTTACTTGACAGCACTGGGAGTTTACTTCCAAGATGCTCTAGAACACATTTCCTTCCATCCCAGAAAAGCAGAGCAAGATTAACTAAATGTGGACACACTGCCAGGACCGTATTCTCAAACAAGGCTGGAAAGTGTAATGATAATTAAATCTTGGATAGTAAGTGGTTTAGCATTATTTACAACTTTGAATAAATGTGTATATTAAAAGAGTGCTTATTACATCAGAACAGGCACTTGCATTTTAACCTACTGATGCCAGGATTGTTCTTCTGTTTGGTGTTTATGTACAGATAGGACACAAATGCTGCTGCTGGTTTCACCTCCCATATATTTTCTTACCAATTTTTAACTGTAAAAAGATGCTGAACTGATGCCTCAGCTACCCTGTGCTTATTTAGTCTTGATACGGTGACAGCAGCCAACAAGACAAGCTCATCTCACGAGCTGCGATTCAGTTCTGTCCCTTTTGGGCAACATCAAGGCAACATTTCCAGGACAAAGTTGAAGGTCCATTATCCCATTCACTCTCAGCTCCTACGGTGTTCCAAAACCATGAATATTTAAAATTTGCCTTCATACCGAAGTGTTTCAAGACACTACTCAACACTGGAGGTAAACACACAGGAATACAGTCTCAAATCGCGTGCTCACTGCTTTAAAAAGTTATGTTAATGTTGGAAAATAGCATGTCATATAATTGTTATTCTTATACATTTTGGTTTCCTTTTTAAACGGGTCAGCTAAGCCAGACTGCTCCACTGCTCCCCATCGAAAGGAACACACAGCGAGTGCCTGCCCTCACCCTGCCAAAAGAACACAGGAAACACGAAGCCTGCACTTAGGATTCCAGTTCTACTCCACATGATGCTATCTTTAATTTACAGCTCTGAAAACACATACAAACAACGCACTTTACAAAGTCAGACCTCTCCTGCTGCTCTTCTCACCTCTTCTACTCATTTTCATGCTGGTCACTTCAGTTGCTCCAATTAACAGATGAGACCTGCATAGAATATTTTTTAAACATTTTTTTCCTCAAGCCTCCAGCTGCTACCAACTTGCTACCAGCAGCTCTAGAGAATATATATTTCTAGCAGACGTAGATTTAAAATATTTTAATCAATCCAACTAAAAAGGAGAGCAAATCAAACCCCCCCAGTTCAGCTCTATAAGAGGATTAAAAAAGGATTTGCCTTAAAAAAAAAAAGAAACAGTGCTGCAGATGAGTGACAATAAATACCTATAATGAGCTAAAAATTACACAGGTTTGTGTATATGTTTAAAACCAAATTTTGCCTTGAAACTGTCATCATCCTACGACACTCAAAATCTAGCTATCAAATCTTGTTACCAAAGCAAGTCCATCCCATGAAATAACACACTAGTGCAGTGGAAACCTGGGAATGCGTTTCCATTAGTAATGGCAACTGGCCACTAGATGGTACTCCGCGGACTACAGTCTGCTCCTCAAAAAAAAAAAAAAAAAAAAATCCAAAAAAACTAAAACAAACCAGAAAACAAACCAGAAACAAACCAAAAAAACCCCACAAACTTTGAGAACATGGAAGCTCCAGAATATTCAGTGGACACAGACTCATGCATTGCCATCAGCTCTCACAAAAGTTTCTCTTATCCGACCTAAAACCAGACACAGCATTTAGCTGACAATATGGACGTGAACAATATGACTTTACCCTGGTTTCTATACGTGCAGAAGCCTATCATCACGTTCATGCTTTCCAGACTGAAACACAAAGCACGTTTTCACTCTGGGTCAGACCGTAACCGTACTTGAGATCTATGAAGAATTGACTGGAATGCAACCAGATTCCCCTATGCTGGCCTGGTCCAGGAGCATCACAAGCACAAACATAAAGGGTGTGAGCAAAACAAATCACCACTGCACAAGTTTGTCCTGTAAGTGATCGCAATATCTTACCTGGGGCAGCCCAGAGGAACAGCAGGAGCGCTGCCCTTACCAGAGGAGAAGACCACTGAAGCCAAAGTACAAGAACAGTAGCAGCACCCTTTTAAACACAGTTTTCAACTCTTGTAATTCATATTTTCTACAGGATGCTGTCAGAAAAAAAGTACCTAAAACTGCTGCATTTCTAAACTTGACCTTCACAATCACTGGAGAAGTCATCTACCCCCACTGCCTCAGAGGCCTTGCTATAGTGAAATGTTTTCAGCTGTGTTCAGAGGCGTACGGAATATTAAAAGAGCAGTCTTCCATAATCAATTAAAACATGTCTTCCAGACTTCTACCTACTCTTGTTCTGAAGACATGAATGTATTAGAGAAACCACCACTTTCCAATGTAGCTCATTTCAATGGCTAATTACGTTCCCTGTTACAATCAGTGCTTTATTTCCTACTCGTCTTGCTTTACTTCCAGCTACAAGGTTGGAGGGATTGTTTGTATTTATGTCTTACTCCATTACTAGAGTATTCTAAGCTCTGGATGTAACTATTCCCATAATCCAATCATCTCTCTTTCTTCTTTTTCGTGAGCTAACCATACTAACCTTAAGATTCATTCTGCAATAAAGAACTTCTTTCCTTCAGAGCTGTATCTACACGCTTTTCCTGTTCCACACTCTCAATGTCATTTTCAAAGGACTTGAGAGCCACAAAAAAATCCAAACTGATTTAAGAAGAATGTATCCATAAGACATGCTTTGAATTACTGCCCTGCTTTACTTACAGCATCCGTATTAAACACAATATTGGATACACTTTGCACAGTTCATGGGAATCGCTTTACCCTGGTCCTCTTTCTGGCAGATCCACTTCCCCTGACAACGGGCTGTAAACAGGAATACTGACATCGTAGCCTTGCCGGTAAGTCCACGTGGAGAAGCCTCCACCAGCCAGCAGAGCTCTGAAAAAGACAAGAAAATTACTTTAAACAGAGTGTGTATACCAGTCAAACTCCCAGCGTGATGTACTGATTGTCATTACCAGAACAATCAAGAAGATGCATGCTCCAAGATAAGTTTTTTTCCTCAACTTTTGTCAGTGGCATTTTTCATGCAGTTTTTCGGTTCACTTTATTTTTTTGTGAACTGGGCTTACTGCCAGATTGGATCTAGTCATCAACATAATGCTTACAACTGCATATGATCTCTGAGGAACGGACTGTTTTTGCATTAATATAGGGAAATCTAATCTATTGCCGTCATTATGCTAATTTTGCATTTTTGCAAGCTTACATATCCTAAGTCAATTTTAATTTAAAGAAAGACATTCTTAATTATTTATAGTGGATAACATATTCCTTGATGCCTGCACTAAAATAGGGTGTAGCACAGCTCTCAGTGTCAGAGACAAGCTATATTTCAAAAACAAGCCCAGGTACAATAACATAGTATTTTGGCAGCTTACAGTGACTCTGGACTTCTCAAGTCGGAAAATAAAAAGGAGTTATTTACAACTGTATTTTCAAAGTGATCATACACACTAGTGAAATTTATCTCATTTGGATATGTCCTGGGTTCAGCTGAGACAGAGTTAACTTTCTTCATAATTGCTAGCAAGAAGCTCTGTTCTGGATTTGTGCTCAGCAGAAAGCTGATAAAAAGTAATGCTTACGCTGTTGCCAAGGTCTTTCAGCTTCTCTGGCTGTCTGCAAACAGGAGAAGCTGGGAGGAAGCACAGCCCCAGTGACCAGCCTGGGATTCAACCTTAGGTTCAGGACTGAGATGCAAAGGGGCCGATAATCTATTCTATAACATACCCATCATGCCCAGTATAGAGGTGAGGACCCTCCGGAAGATCGGCCCTTTTGGTTCCGGTTCTCTTTTGCTCTGGGTCATCTCTCTCCAGGTGGTTGCTCTCCCAAGGCCTTTCCCCCTCCCCCACCCCGGTCAGCTTTCGGTCTGGGATGCTCAGACTGTTCTCTCCATTCCGTGAGTGTGGTTTCGGGACTCTCCCTGCTCCGGGATCGTTAGCAGGGAACAGGCTGAGCCTTGGTCACCGGGTGGGTGAGCAGTATCACTGTGTATCACTCATTTGTATATAGTATTATTTTCAATATTATTGTAGTTCAGTTATTAAATTGTTCTTATCTCAACCCATGAGTCCTTTTTTCTCTTTACCTCTTTAATTCTCTCCCCTATCCTCGGGTGGGGTGGGGAGGGATTCGGTGAGTGGGTGTGTGGTTTGGCCCCCAACCAAGGGCTAACCCATCACAGTACATTACACAAAAAAAAAAGTCATAAACAGAAAACATGACAAGAACTCTGTGTATTCTGAAACTAACTTCCAACAGCAGAGGCTGCTTGGGACACTGTGCCAGACAGCATGGGAATCATAAAAGATTGACAAATTAAGATAGAACTCGAGCTCTCAACAGGATGACCCCGATTGTCTGTGGCTCCTCCTAGATGGGACAACCTTTTGCCACATGGAAGAGCTTTAAGAAACAGAAGAGAACAAAGGTAGAGAACAAAGCAATGCATCATTTGCAATGTCAGAAAAAGCAGGCCCGTTACTATCTTCTGTTCCAAATCAGGCTTCTTCAAAATACGCTAGCAGAGGACATCAGCTTTTCAGTTGCCATTTCATCTCCAGTGACCAGGTGGCACAATCATCCTGTTTCTGAAAGCAGCTCAGAGTGGTGTGGCTTCTCAAGCAGCTGATCAAAGTTTCAGTCCTGTGGCACCAAAGAGCAGGACATGCTAGACTTTAAAATGCCCCAGGGATACTGGGTCTGCTTACAGTACTATATACAGTAGTTTGGAAAAAAATATTTCTCCAATTCCAGTTTCTCTCTTTCTCTGTGGAAAGAAGCAGAACACAAATACACTGCTACACTAGGCACTACAGAAAGGATCTCGAGGAGCTGTACCCATTGTAGCAGCTACGATTACAGCCAAAAGCCTTATTATCACAAACTTGCCTACTGTCGCAGCAGGGACACGTCTCACCAGTGACCAGAACAAAAAGTCAAGGTGAGGCTGGGAGAGGCACTGACAATCCATTAGCAGATATTCTTGTTTTCAGCGATCACCAAATGAAATCCTTAGTCTAGTGTCTGAAGAAGCAGATTTTCCACAGCTGTGACACAACAGGTTATCGTTATAACTAACCGTCATCCAAGACTCATCATTTTTTCCCATCAGAACATGACACCCCGGATAAACACCAGTATGTTCTGCCTGTTCTAATCCCCCTCAGATGTCCCACAGGATACTTCCCTTTCTGCTCTGTTCAGTGCTCAAACACCACAGCCACGCTCTGCCATAAATGTGATTTCGCCCAAGCAGTCAATCAAGCAGTCCTGAGTGGTGTTTAAGAAGCTCATCAAAAATCCCAGGCTCTGGATTAGAGAAGCATTTCAGCTTGACTGACAATTACAAAATCAAAACAACTTGCCCTTTATTACTCAGAACACAAACTATGGTAGGAGCAGAAATCAACTTGAGAACAGGATGATAAATCAAGTAAGTGCTGAGTGAGAATTTATGTTCCAAATCCAGTGATTCTTTTGGATTCCTTTCCAATGTGTGTCCCCCCCCGCCTTGGTAACACGTACGATGCTGCTTTGACTACGTCCCACCCTTGAAGCTGCATGTTCCATGTCTTATCCATATTAACTCAGTTACAAGCACGGAAAAACATTAGCTTGGGTGTTGCTGTTCTTGCACTTCATACCCCCCTCCTCTTTTTTTAACCCCCCCACTCCCCGTAATTGGGAAACTACAACCAGATTGTTTTAATTGGATCCGGTGAAAACATGACAGCACCTCATCAGCCCTGAGAAAGCAGGTGTGTGTCATGCAGACTTTTACCTAACTAAACCCCCAGGGAACCAACACCCGTTAAATAACTCCACTCAAGATTTTCACTGTACGGTGCAGCAAGGGAGCAGAGATATTAACTCCTAACGTACTCAAGACAAATCATCTTTAAATTGCACTGGTCAGCGAGGAACGAGCCTGTTCCTGAGCAACTCCTCACCACTTTTCAGATATTGATCCTTTTTTCTCTCTGGGAAGTGCCCCAATTGGTCTGTACTCTGAACGTTTCTGCCCACCTGCCATCATCAGCAGCTTTCTGCCAAACTTTACAAGTCACTGAAACCCAATGCATCAACTGAAGCAGACCAGAAAAGTACGATAGATCATAAGCTCCATTCCACAGCTACAGAGCAGCCATGCAAAACAAATCCCTTCATCCTCATTATTGTACCGAATTCAATAGCACTAACAAATAATAAAGAGCTTAGTTTTTAAGTTTTACGGCAGGAGATTACACATGTTATGGCAGCTAATACCAGCACCACAGCCTCCGTGCCCACAAGGCAGACTTCCCTCTTTGACATTATGGAACAAAGCACTTTCACACTGTCTTTGGAAATTGGATTCAAATATTTAATAACCGAACAACCCTTTAGTGAGGTAACTTAGCTAAAGACTTTTCCAGGTTTAAAAATATGATCTAACTGAATACCTCCTTGTTCATAAGGTGTTATTTTACCTGGATTAATGTTCTGCAGCAAATCAACAGAACACAACTCTATCAAACCCCATAATCCACTACTGCTCAACTATGTATGATCTCTGATATGTGCTGAATAGAGAACACAGACCACCCTCCCGCTGCAAACGTCACAAATATTACCTCTGTATTTCATGAGAGATCCACAAAATCCCACAAATCCAATCTTTCTGGAGTTGTACAGTTCAGACCAGTCATTCAAAACCAACGGAACTCTGCCAATGCATCTTTATTTTGGCCTGCAGCTCCTCACCCTGTGATGCTACAAACAAGTGTCCTTCACACCTTGTTAACTACCCAGTCTGTAGCAGGTGTGGACATTCTCAAATTAAGAAAGCACACTCAGGCCTCTTGTTCTGTTCCACATGAACTAAGACCTCCAAACGTCTCCAAAATAATACTGTAACCTCATACCCCACCTTCCAGGACAAGGTCCACATTACTGACTTTTTCACAGATCCCTTGTCTTCGCATCTGTGACCTGCAGTACAGGTTCTGCACTACACTGGATACAGTCTAACTGTTGGCTGCCTACAAAAAGGATTTTCCACCATTTCTCTGCCTCAAGCACCGTTATTGCCTCTCTTATGTATTACAGCTAGTGATTGCACAGCTGCAGGGTGAGTCAGTTTGGCAAGTTTTGCAACAGCTGTATGCCAAAAAAGATCTTACTTTTTTATTCAAATGATTCGACTTTCCATGTTAGCATGACAAACGCTTAAAACAAACACCTACCAAAATAACACATTTCCTGCGTGCTAAGCCAAGACACATCAGACCAAATATAAATAGGCATTTGACACAAAAAAAAGTAAAAAAAAAAAAAAATATGTGCAGTGTAAGAAATCTACTGCATTCAATTAACAAATCTACTTTTTCTATAGCCACGTGCATCCACAAACACACAGTCCTGGAGCAGTCCATTCCATGAAACAATGAAAATCCCCCTTAAGAAGCATAAAGCCTACGGTAAGGAATACAAATATTTACTAACATATTAACAGGTCTTGTTATGTAAGAACAATGCTTGGCTGCCCTCTTCAGGCCAACCCACACACATATAAAATATTTCATACAGAGAAGTAAAAAACTAAAGCCTCACTTCGCAGTCAGTGATGTAATTACAATGAGTAAACTTACTCTTTGAACATGTCCAGAAAAAAACACGTTCTGTTCTGGCATTGAAGGATGTTTTAAATTGTCTTTGGTGCAAATAAATCAAGATATACTCCATACACAATCATCTTAGCAAAGATCCCACATCTCAGGCAAGATTTTGTTGACATTTGGCAGAAGAAAGTTAACCTTGACCTTCGAGAGAGGAACTGGTTACACAGGACCTACCTCAGCAGAACTAAGCCCATACAGGCTAATCTAGTACAAACATATTCAGTAACAGTATCTAAACCAAATAAGTTTGTCTTACTCTTTTTCCAATTTTCTTTGCCTCACAACCTCCTTTCCTCTTCCAAAAGTAAACCATTCTGCAAGTGAAAACTGAGCTCAGGATTCATGCCTTGTAAGTTTCTGGCAAATATTTTCAAAACACACTTGCCAAAGAATAAGAACATTTGTCTGATTACTAATACAGTGCAATTGTTAAGACAACAAAAACTACTGAATTTCACCATGGTTTTGTCAAGTAGAGCAGCTGCTTTAAAATGCCCTTGAAGCACCTGACATCTATGAGAAAGCTACAGCTACAATCATGTCTGAATTTTTAACCTGCATCCACTGGGACATTCTGTGAAGTGTTCAGGTTCAGTAACACACAAGGTCTAACCTCAAGATTCTCCGTCCTTACAGAAAGCCCAACAGTTAAGAGCAAACGCTGTCAGCCACACGCCATATAAAACTAAGGATGGGGCGAAACTGTCAGATTTCAGGAACAAATACTTGTCCTACACAAGACAGGGACTTCTCTACTTCCCTTTTTTGAGAGGAAGTCATATTCCAGCTTTGTCAAGGTTAAGGAGCAAGTCCTTTGCTACCAGGTGCACTTCTGAGCTTGATGCTTCTTCAACGGCATTTAAACCCAGATCGGTGCACCCAAACACAGCAAAAACACGCACCTATCTCTAGGAACATCTAGGGCGGTGTTATAATCTGGCGGCCCTCCAGGCAGCATATTGAAGAGCAAGTGATTTGTGCCTCGATCCCACCTAAGGCAAAAGAAGAAACAGGAAACAATTAGAAGGGTGTTCTCTACATACAGATGATAAGTTCTGTCAAAGCCCAGCTCTGGCATCGACTCACTGCATCCTCCCCTGCAGCATTAACCTTAGCTTCTTCCACTTTGTGTTCTTTAAATTCACACAATAAAGTTTCAGAAAGTACCTGGATAACTGCGCCAAAGCCTGAGCCGTCTCCTTGATACGGAGCGCGTTCTGATTGAGGACATCTATGGATGGCACGAAAAGGCAAGCCCGGTTGACATCGTCGGTGTAGAATTCACTGTCAGAGATGGCCGTCAGCAGCTCATTGTATTCCCTGGAAATGGTGTTGCTCACCGATGTCCCATATTCATCTACGTACTTTTTCAGTGAGTAGATGTATACCTTGATTTTGTTTTTGGGATTGAAGCCACATCGATAGACATCGAAGCAGGTGTGCATCCTGCAGCTGAGGTCTCCCCGCTCGGGAATGGGGCTATCGGCAGGAAGCTTGACCACAGGCACATCGTGGACACTGCGTTTTTCAACGGTCCAGTCGCTGGATGACTCAATGGAGTGAGGCCAGAACTGGAACATTCCTGTGGCAATTAGGCCAAGGAGAACGATGGAGAAGAGAGTAATGTAGTAGATGCGATGCTTGGTTTTCATCCTCGGGATGAGGGCTGGACCCCGGGTGTTGTACTTGGCCGACGCACACATAATGGAATCAATTATCTCTTGTCTCTACAAAACAGAGAGAGGTTTTAGGATGGACTCTGGAAGAGGTAAGCAGTTATCACAAGACAGAGAAACATCCACTTAACCCTTTCCAGACACGTTCTTTGCTTCTGCACATTACAGTGAAATTTCTTCAGTTGCTCACATGTCCCACCAGAACATAAGATGCCAACTGGGACAGCCACTTGGCAAGGACAGCATGAGGCTGTCTGCTGGGCCAGGCTGTAACGGAACAACGTTGGCCAGTTAACAACCACAAGTCAGAAAAGGACATGGCTTGGGCAGTGAGGAGAGGGAGAAATCCCAAACACCACAGAAGCAGCGAGTCCTCATAGGTGCCACTCCACCTACGTCTAACTGCATTCACAGTGAATACTAATTAAAAAAAACCAAACAAACCCACTCACCTACAAGTGAAGAGAAACAACCTGGATACCCCACAAAGGGTTTCCAATGGGGCATCACACAGAATGTAGGATCAGGATATTGCTTCTAATGCAAAAGTGCTTTCAAACTGAATTTTACAGGAGCCCTACCATATCTGACTTGAATGATGCTAAACTACTTCTGGCAAGAAAAATGAATTAGCCATCTTTGTCAAGGTGCCTTTTGGGACAAAACAGTGTTCTATGAAATGCCACTGTAGCCACATTAAGAAAAGCATTTAAATAATTGTTCACTGTAGTCCAGTTAACACTTGTAGAGAAAAACATGATGTAACATAAATTATCAGAATCACACAAGTACTGTCATCTTTGATGCTTCTTACAAGCTTTTACACACAGAATTGTGGTTTCAGCAAGAGACAATTTACATTCATGCAGAGTGAAGAATCAGCTACTTTTGCATGCAAAATTCTGTTTAGGTTTTCAACTAAAGCTTCCATAGTAAGTAAATCCAACCTGAACTCCCCACAGTGGGAGCTTTTTAAAAGTAGTAAGCACATTTCTCCTGAAGAAGAATGTGGATAGTATAATTACGTGTTTTCCTTTCGGACAAATGGGATGCTTTCTTGCCTTGAGAGGAAAAAAAGAAAGTCTGAGAGGCAGCCATACAATGACTAACAAATACGAACACAAGAAGCATCATTAAAGCATTGCATGGTCTTTATAACAAATTGGGTTACATTTATTTGGCAGTTCTTCACAAAAGACTGTTAGGATGGGGTGGCTAACACATTACATGACTGCACTTATATATAGCAGCACACAAATAATCTCAGATGCTAATAAACATTCCACTTTTAACAGTTACTCTCATCAACTGACATTCACATTCTGATTCTGGAGACAGTTTTTAAACCCTACCGTACAAGGCAATACATGTGATGCTGTTATCAGGACAGAAGCCAGAATGCCACTTTACTATCAGGCTTATAACCAACAACCTTCCACACGCTTCTGACAGTTAACCATGTTATTCTTCCTTCCTGATTGTCCTGGGTTCAGCTGAGAGTCAACTTTCTTCACAGCAGCTGGCAAGAGGCTGTGTTTTGGATTTGTGCTGAGAAGAAAGCTGACCACACTGATGTTTACAGCTGCTGCCAGGACAGTCAAGGGCTTTCAGCTCCTCTGCTGTGCCCGTGTCTGCAAGGGCAGGAGAAGCTGGGAGGGAGCACAGCCCCAGTGACCAGCCTGGGATTCAACCTTGGGTTCAGGACTGAGATGCAAAGGGGCCAATGGTCTGTTCTATACCATGCATGTCATGCCTGGTATACAGGTGAGGATCCTCTGGAAGCTCGTCCCTTTTTGTTCCAGATCTCTCTTGCTCCTGGTCGGCTCTCTCAGGGTGGTCCCTCTCCCAGGCCCTTCTCCCTCCCTCGATCGGCTCACGGTCTGGGATGCTCAGGCTCTTATGTCCATTCTGGGATTGTGGTTTCGGGACTCTCCCTGCTCTGGGATCGTGAGCCGGGAGTGAGCTGAGCCTTGGTCATCGGCTGGTGAGCAGTGTCACTGTGGATCACTCATTTGTGTATACTAATATTTTCAGTACCATTGGAGCTTAGTTATTAGATTGTTCTTATCTCAACCCACGAGTTTTTTTTTCCCTTCACCCCATTAATTCTCTCCCCCAACCCCAGGAGGGTGAGCAAACGGGTTGTGTGGGGTTGGCTCCCAGCCCATCGCACGGAGGCAGTGCCAGAGCCACCCACACTATGACAAACACCAAACCCTGGCAGCCTTTGAGTCACTCTGCAAAGCCACCTAGACCTTAACCTGGGAGGAAAAAAACCTCTGGGAAACGCCCCTCTGAACCGTTTAATCCCTTCCCCACAG